CTGTTTCGAATATATAGTCCGGCTGGCGACTACATTTGTAACTTGTAAGATTTAGATTTTGATTGACTTTTTGTAGATATCTATTCTTTTTTGTTAAAATATATCCTTGCTCATCCTGGCTTCTCTCGATGGATTCCATTCTTACTCTGACATCTGTATTTGTTCCTTATACTTAATTTTGACTATTCCCTTCTTTCAGTATTGGCAGCTATCTCGATTCCAATGTTAGGAGAATTCATCAACCTCCTGGGTGCCTTCTGCCTGTCTGCGCTATGCTTCATCTTTCCTCCAATCGTGGACATCTATGCCAGATATCCTGATAAATTGGGAGGAGGAAAATGGAGAGCAGTGATCGATATTCTTATTATGTTATTCGGTTTATTCAGTCTTTTGGTTGGGACTTATGCTTGCATTTGTGATATCATTGTGGAATTTGCAAAATCGAATCAGTGATTTAAGAAAAAAAAAATTATTTGTATGGACACATTGTAATTTCATGTAATATATTAATGTTGATTACAAGTAATTTTTGCATTTAGAGATAAGTTTTGTCGGTAGAAAAATTATTTTTAATATAATATGAGTTGAGATTGAAAAGAGCACAAAAACAAAGTATTTTTATTCCTTGCGAAAGTGGCGCCTATTTCACTTGAAGTTTATTTAATCATTTTGTTACAAACACAATTTATTTTTATATATTATCAACTTCAATTTTACAATAATTTATCATTTCTCTAGTGTTAAAAAAAATAAACAAAAGAGTTTTTAATTGTTTGATAACACATTGCGAATTTAAGATAAATTGTTGCAAAAATAAATAAACAATGAAATTAAACGTTCAAAGTCTTCTTCCAACTATAAATATCAGTACAGTATTAGTGTTAAAATTTTAAAGCGTGTATAAAAAATATTTTAAAGTTTTTGTAGGTACGAATAAATCTGAAAAAGTACTAAAATTTAATGGTTGTAGTACAAGTGGTACTTTACCATCAATTTTTAATAAATCGCATGTCTTGTACTACAGTATTTTGTTAATAAAAACGTTATAATATATATTAAAACAAAGGACTTTCCAATAAAAAAATTTAAGTTTTAAGCACTTTAAATTGTACCTTGATATTTAAATTAGTTGTGCTTTTCAAGTAAAGTATCTAGTAAAACAACAAATACTAAAATTGATTGTTTGTTAAGATATATAGTTGAGATTGAAATAAATTCATTAATTTGAAGATAACTATAATTTTAGTTATTTGTATATATTTTCAAATTCGTCCCATGAATTTATCAATCACTTGACCCGGGCTATCGTCTTTTGTTTATTTTCAACAAACAATTTACTCCATTCGCATTCTTTTGATTGTTAAAACGCAAACCGTAATTATTTATAAGATTTCAGTGTGTATTTATTGTTGTTAAATGTTGATGTAAAAGAAAATTATTTAAAATGACTGATGATTTGGCTAAAAATGATGATTTCGAGCCCTACGATCATAGAAATAAACCAACAGAGAAATTGACGAAGTTAGTGGATTTGATTTAAAATATTATTATATTATAAATTACATTTTTTGACAATAAATGGTGTAGAACAAACGGTGCGTTAGGTCAAAATCATGATTCGGTGTTTAGATATCTTTAAAAAGACATGATCGTGTAACTTTATATAAAATATCTGATAGCTATAAATTAGACACTTTGAGGTGCAACATATTCAATGTGGTGGTACAATTAGTGCATCCTGTAAAGCCTGCTGAAAACTTCTAAAAATGTTCATATTTGCAGAGTGCAGTTTGATCTCAAATTTGTGTAAAAAGATTTATAGTTTTTATGAATTCTTGTTAAAATACATACTCGAAGGGATATTTTACTCGACAAGTTTGTAGTACAAATGATGCGTTCTGTACAAGTATTTCATATCATGTTTGTATATAAGTTCAATGTGCAACAGACTTGTACGACATTTAATTAGTGCTTTCAATCATATGTAGTAAATTATTTAAATTCAAAATTTTCTCTTAGGAAACTACAAATTCAAGTTACCTTCGCCTACGGCCTTTTAATTCAAGCATATTAAAATAATAAATACTAAAATTGATAAATTTTTATATACAACATAATATATAAATAATTTTATCAATAGGACTTGCATCGAGAAGTTCAAAAATTAATCGAGTTAACGCACTGTTTATACTGCAAGACATTAGTTATGTATTAACTTATTTAAATATTATAAAGTAATTATTTTTAGTACGTGGCAGGCCTTGATGCATTTCCTGAAAGGCCAAGTCGGCACAGGAATTCTGGCCATGCACGTGGCCTTTAGTGAAAGCGGGACTGTAGTGGGCAAGTAATAATATTTATAATTATTTATGTATTATTAATTATTATATATTGTTTTATCTCTTTAAGGTATTTTAGCTATGGCCTTTTTCACGCTTATTACCGTGTATTGTATGCATTTGATAATAAGGTCGCAGTACAGACTGTGCAAAAGGAAAAAGGTTGGAATGTTGACCTATTCGGAGGCTATGGAGTACGCTATTGGAACGGGACCTATGAAGACTAGGAAGTTGTCCAAAGTTGGATTGTGAGCAAAATTTAAAATTGCTTATTATTCTGTTGCCAATAGCTTATTGTGTTACAACCTGAATAAGTGTTTGCGTAACTTCATAAATTAATTCAATTCCAATATACACATCTTTTCAGATACACCATCGATTTGTTTATAATTTTCCAACAAATTGGAGGATGTTCCTGCTACGTTTTATTTATTGCTGCAAATACAAAGCAGGTAACTGATATATTATCACCATCATCATAATCGTTAATATTGATGGTCCATTATGACGATTTTATTTTTTACCATCACCATATTTTGAAACAAGATGATAAACTTGGAGTCCAAACATTACAAGTTGTATGTTTTTTTTTCTCAGTTTCTAGAACACTTCCTTCCCAGCGACTGGAATGTTCGCTTCTACAGTACCTGTCTGCTGGTTCCTTTGATCCTTCTCTGTCTCATCAGAAATCTGCGCGTTCTAGCCCCAGTTTCTGCTATTGCAAATGTAGTGACGATCTTAGGCCTAGGCATTATCCTGGCATTTATTTTTAAAGATCTTCCATCGTTTACGGACAGGCCTATGTACGCGGACTTCATGAGATTTCCAATGTACCTGGGAATCGTTCTGTTTTCCTTGTGCAGCATTGGCTTGGTAATGGAAAAAGATAGAAAGATATAATTTGTTAAGATATAAATATATTCATTGGTAAATTACCAGGTGACGTCGTTGGAACAGAACATGCTGAGACCACTGGATTATATAAAGTCTTTCGGCGTTTTGAACGTAGGCTACACTATCATCTTCTTATTGTACTTGACTGTCGGACTGAGCGCGTACATCAAATATGGTCACAAGGATGAGCTGGAGGGATCTATCACGTTGGAATTGCCGACGGACAGTCTGTAAGATTTAAAGATTGAATTATTATTGTGCTTTAAAGATTCAAAAATTAATTCAAAATAATTGTATATACATATATCTATATATATATATATATATATATATATATATATATATATTTTGATAGGTTATTTAAAATCTGATTTTAAATAACCTATCAAAATATAAAATCAACACCAAACTCACATATTTCAATATATATATATATATATATATATATATATATATATATATATATTCAATGTTATTATTAATTTCTGTTCAGTTTGGCCCAATTTGTGAAGATAATGTTTGCCCTGGCCATAATGCTAAGTTACCCCGTTCACACACACGTGACGGTAGAATTGCTGATGGACAAATTCATGAAAAGCGAATTGAGAAACCCCATATTTATTGAATATTGCGTTCGGCTATGCTGTGTGATATGCACAGGTGAGATATTAACAAATAAGCTACCGACGATGAACACAATAAATACAAAAAATAGTTTTGTATTATTATTATTCTTTCACCTAGTCGTCTTTGCCGTCGCCGTTCCGATGCTGGCGGAGTTCATCAGCCTGATCGGATCTTTTGCTTTGTCGGCGCTCGCGTTTGTCTTTCCAGCTGTCCTGGATCTACTCACCAGGTTTCCCCAAGATAGATACGGCAGGTTCCGTTGGCTGCTGGTACTCGATATCGTTATAATGGCCTTCGGATTCTTCAGCATGATCGTTGGCAGTTATGCGGTGATACGGGATATCTGTATTAAATTTCGTATGTGATGGAAATTAAAATTTATTTTTAATTAAAGACATTTGTGCAGAATCAAATAATCTATTATTATGTTTGATAATACTTGCCCTAGATTCAAAGATTCAATAGATTGCTTCAGATATACTCGTATACTCTAAAACCACCAAAATTCCGAGCGGCCTCAATAGCAACTCGATGTACTCAAGAATCGTAAATGAAATTGTTGAAATAAAATGAAATAGTAGAAATTAATAGAGAGATATTTTCAAAATATATGTTTAAACCATTTGATTGATATAAACGATGTTCATATAAATTTAATAATCGACAGCATTGTCTAAAATTATAAAGGTTACACACAAAGAACACCTTTATAATCTGTATATAATGGTATTGTTTATAGTATATAATACAGTATACTTGGAAGTATATATATAGTACAAACTAATTGTTAACTTAATTTTGGATTAATCAATAATTAGTGTTAATTAATTAACGACTTCAAAAACTGTTTCAATGTGATAGCATTTTTATTAACAAATTCCATGTGTATTAAATTTAATTCAAAACTAATTCTAAATTATAAATTAAATGAAAATTATTATTAAAGATAATTAATTTAATTACATTAGTTTTAAATCACAGCACTTGAACTTAATGCAAGAGTTAATACTTATTATAATATTAATTATACAATATAATGATTAATAACATTTTTTTGTATTTTGAACATTTTATAATAATACTATTCTTAAATTAATAATTAATCGTATCATATTTTTTCTAAAAAAAAAAACTCCAGGACTAGTGTAAGATCACACGTGAGATGTTGAAAAATATCTCGCGTGAGATTTGAAGAAACATTGAGATGCAAAAAATATGAGAATATATATCTGTATGCAGATATGTTTTGCTCGTTTATAGCTTCATATCAATCCTCTTTACTCAATCTTAGATCGCACATTAGCGACATGTGATCTGACGGGTAGGAATACGAAGGCAACCTAGCTGGACCGATTTCCCTCTCTGACGGGAAGAGAAGACCGGCCTCGACGGAGAATGCGTTTTTTGAGTAGTATATGTAGTCAATGGTGTGACATTCCTCGGCCTCCTCGCGGATCTTCCACGTCGTGTAGGGCGGTTCTCGCTCCCGAGGCAGATCCGGGCGGCAACCTAATGGATACGACGCCATTTCGGCGTAAGCGCTAGCCAAACCTGGAAAATATATATAAACTGAGACCAAATTCTCCTCAATATTGTGATAAAATATTTGATAATGTCTACTCACCTAGTTCTTGGTGCGACAGTATCCTTTGGTATACGGGTTCTTCGGGTTCGGCATTGAAATCACCACATAAAACCAACGGTTTGTTGTCGCAATGTTGTTTCACAAACTCTAGCAAATCCTTACCTTGCTCGTCGCGCAGTTTGTTCATCAAGGAACCCCTTCTCGCTTTCAAATGTGTGGTTGCAACGCAAATCTCGTCATCAGTATCCAGCACTTTGAAAGTGGCTGCTATTACCACCTAAAACGAATAACAGATATATCCAAAATATACTTGCTAAAGACAAGAATGTTTTACCTGGTTCGTGGGCATCTTCCAGATTTCCAAAATTTTTGTATCGGCTTTGAGAAGTCTTAATTTATCTTCACGATAGAATATAGCGCATCCATCAGGTCCATTGTTGTCGGGCATGTACAAACAAGGTGAGTCTGGTTTCTCTCTAAACATCCCGTTGTATCCTAAAGATCCTAAGGACCGTTGCAAGAAGTTAAAGTGATCGACTTCCTGCACAACAAGCTGTTTTATAGACAACTCCAAAAACGACTAGTAAATTTTGAGCAAATTTAATCACCTGTAAGCAAACGACATCCGGCCGTGTTTCCAAAATTGCTTGGAGCATCCCGTATTTTCTCGTGTGCCAATCCAGTGCTTCGGCAGGGCACAGAAGAAATCCATCACCGTGCACACCCAAAGCTTGCGATAAAACATTCCATTGAAAAACACGGAGCACACCAGTATTTGAGAACGGAAGGCAAACTGAAAATAGGATATAAATTAACTAAGGGTAACACTAATTAAAACATCAAATTAAAATTCTCACCACTTACCTTTATCAGTGCTGAGTGTGCATATCTCTTCATTGAAAAACCTGGAGGACTTTTGCTGCACCAGGGCGTTGGTGCCCAGGGGTGCATATTCACGCCCCAGCAGCTCCGGCAGTCCGTTCCTCTTCTGTTTACAATATTCTACCACCGATGACAGCGACATTTTACGCGATGGCAGCCGAAAGTCATCGTCCTGGCAGTCACTGTTCAAGATCTTGGGGGAGGAGTTGAAGCTGCCCATCCTAGAGAAAGAGGAATATTTTTGAGTAAGTTTATTTAAAACATATTTATACTAACTCGGTGTACTGTCTAGGTACTTTTTTTAAAATTTGCAAATTTTTTTGCCGGACGTTTTAAAATCTATCATCGCTCATTTAAAATTATTAATATCGTTGCATCTATGCAAGTTAAAATATTTTTATAATATATAAAGTGTATAAAATAGTTTTCAATTCTGCAAATTTATAAATATGCCCAAACTGCATATTTACAATTATTTGCAAATAATTCTTTTTTAATCCTACCGTTGCAACAAAAGCCTTTTAAAGTGCGTTTTCTTTTCACCGCCACCCTTGCCATCTTTGATTTCACTATTTAATATAAAATCACACATTTTTTAAAAATCAGCAAAATTATAATCACAACAATTGTTGAATCGCAATGTTTTTTATGCTCGTCCGAGACAAACTGGCATCGCAAAATGTCGCGGGGACAGCTTTATATTCTATTCGGATGACAATACGGATTTAATTTATTCGACATAGATATTCGATACAAAAAAGTGAGATAAAGGAATCTCTTAGAATCAACATTATGTGGGGTCAACGAAGATTTGGACCCTCGATTTTGTTGGAAATTCTTTTGTGGTGCAAGATAAGCGGGAGCACAAGGGATCAGTTTTAATTTGCATTCTAAGTAATTATGATAATTTAGTGAATAATAATAACGTGGGTATTATTTTGAAAATTTGTGTTACTTTTGTTGAAGACATATTTGCAGATAAATTGCTGATATATTTGCTTAAATTTTTAAACTTACACAATTATGTTTTAAGCAAATTTTGCAAAAAACATGCTTAAATTTTTAAACTTACACAATTATGTTTTAAGCAAATCTTGCCAAAAATCATGTGAAATTAATACAGATTGCGTACGTGAAATTTTGTTAATCGCATTATATACGAATGCATAAAACTTGGCATATTTTTATCCCAATTAATAGTAAATTAATTAATAGTAATAGAAAATTCATTAATTATTTAGTTTCATGATAAAAAATTAGCGATATTTATGTATTTTCAGAATAAAATAATTCAAAATGAAATGTTTGCAAACAATAGCATATATAAACATATAAAATGAAGTAATTTGCATTCAGAATTTACTTTAAAGTTCGATACCAAAAGCATTCGCAAACATGTCAATCTATTGCCCAATTGCCTTTATTGTTGATACTAACTAATTGACATTCTTATTAACCAATTAATTATTTGATGTTACTAATTGACTTAAAAATATTTGCTTTTAAACTACAGTCATGCCAATTCTTTTTAAAAACCAGTGAAAGTTTACTCCGAATGCATTAGTCATTGTTCGGCATAACAACAGTTTCACAACACTAGTCGTAAATTTAATTTTTTTTTCTCATCACGTTTTATGTAACAAGTTAACAAAATTTAAACAAAATTAGCATAATTCGGACCTGATTAACAGGTTCCGCAATTTTTTTGACATCTAACCAACTGCGTTGTCACTTTGAACATGTCCTTGAAAAAAATTGTCGAAAAAAAAGATTTCGAGTTGGCTCTGGTAGAAATGGATCATTTTTTGGTTCCAAATGTACTTTTATACCAATGATGAAAAAAACGTTCAAGCAATTGTATATTATTCCAATGTTAGATTGGGTTCACGATTTCGTTTCTAGATCAAATATTATAGTTTTGCACCAAAATATAGGTTTTGAATAAAATTAGAACCCCATTAATTAAAAAAATATATTTAAAAAAATTAGATTCTATGTTAACTATAACTTAATAAAACGCTCTAACAGATGTCGACCATAAAATTCTTCTCACTTTTAAAAATTGTGTATTGTCTCCTGTGCATAAAACTTTATTTATTACCTGATCAAGTACATTAGCAGCTGCCTGGGCGGCACATAGTCCGTCAGATTCTCGGTCGTCATCTGATGATGATGGTGTTCAACTCCTGCAGAGACTGCAGCAGCCGCCATCTCCAGTTTCCTGGCCGCTAATCTCCTCCTTGCCGCAGGGGCTGTTAGGACATCAGCCCTGGTCAACGTTTCGCCAGACATCTGGTGGTCGCTCGTAATTCGGAGGACCAGAGGGCCATTTCTGGAGAAATTTTGCAATCGTCGAGAATATTAGAATGGTTGGTGGTGGCGACGGCAGTATTGACGTCATCGGGAGGTTGATCGTTTTCGAACATTTTGGAGGAGGAGAGAAAATAAAATTAAACGGCAATAAGAGATTAAATATTTAAAATTCAGAACCGAAAATTGAAAGTTATAAAATGAAGACTTGAAATTGAGAACTTAAAATTAGTATTATAAATAAAATTTAATACTGAAAATCTGAAAATCTATTCTACTGAAAAGAATAATAGCATTAATATTATAAATTGAGACTCTAAAATTAAATAAAAAATGAGGAATAAATTTGTGTATTTGTGATTAAGAATCTCTATTTGAGAATTTCAAATTGAGAATTAAATTTAGTGTTTTAAATTGAAGATTCTAAAATAAGGATTGGAAGGATGGAAAATTGAAATTTGAGAATCCTTGATACAGCAGTTAAGGATAAATATATAAATTATAATTTACAAGTTCATTTGAAAATCTGATAGTTCATTGGTGTTTTCACTATTTTTTTAAAAGTTTTGAGTTAATTGAAGACACTTTAAATAGATGTCCATTATCCACTATTTTTCACTATTTTTGACAAATTATTATTAATAGTTAAAAACTCTGTAATAACAAAATATTTTTGTATATTCATTAGTATAGATATTTACATCATACTTCGTATAAATTATTGCAATGAATTCAGATTTATGAACGTTATAAAAATGAATGCATCCGGAATCATTTTTTAGTTTCAAATGCAATTTTGAAGAACAGCGAGTTGCTGTAGGGCTCTATGATCTTTGACAATATTATAGATAATTTAATTTTGTACAAAATGTACGAACATTGTTCATATTAATCAAATGGTATGAAAGTTATGAAAGATTTAATAAATAAGTTCAAATGAATTAGCAAGTCGCTGACGATTAAAGTTGATACATATAATATATTGAGTGCGCAAAGATAAATTTTTTGAGGTCGAAAGAGAATTTAGGATATAGGGCCCTAGAATATTTGACTAGAGTCATTGATAATTTAATTTTTTATAAACTAACTGAACAACATTTGTATCAACCAAACTATTGAAAAGATACAAAAAAATATAATCTAAAAATGCGTAAGAATGCAAAATGCACTTGAATTGCAGTTTTTTTGTTTTCTAAAATTGTTTTAAATTATACCGTGTTGCTCTATGACAATTAATATTAAACATAATTATAGATTATTCAATTTAGTACAAATTTGCAGAATACGTCATTCATATTAATCGAATGGTTTAAAAGTTATGAAAGATTGAATAAAAAACGCACGGCACTGTTTTAAAAATTAAAACGCATTACGGTTGGGACGCGGTTTATTTTTAGAACTATTTTGATGAAGTTTTATAAAAGTAGTATAGTAGCTAAAAATAGTTCAAAACCAAGGTAATAAAGAATTGCTTTAAATTTTTAACATTTTGTATTCATTATGAATAATAAATAAAATGTAATTTATTTAATAAATTTTTTATACACTTCAATAACTATTTTTATATTAAATATGTAATTTTGAACACACTTAGTTTTGATTAATTATTTATAAAAAAAGCACTTCAGTACACCATTTTATACTGACACCATATTCATAACAAGTTATCCAACTGATTTTTTACCGATATCTTAACCATTTCTTTGGCTCTCTTAACCGGTATTTATATATTATTTAAGTAAGCCCTATGTTATCTTTCGCCTTCGTCAAGTCGAACTGAGAGCGCGCAGGCGACCGGAACGGGTATATATACTAGAAGTTCCGGTCCGGGGGGAATTGTTATTTTAGTTCGTTTTATTTATTTTTTGTTGCTATCACCTCGAAATATGTTTATATTTACGAATACTTCAAAGGCACTTTAAAAAAATTATTTGCACAAATTTAAAGGGAATGTGGACGAAAAAATTTGAAATGGCTTGGGCATTTGTAAAAAACTGCTTGTACGAATTTAAAGACAATGTGGACAAAAAAAATCAGATAGCATTTGCGTTTGTTTATTATGTCTCTTACAACTTTTAAATATTGCTGTTCGATTGATATGATTGATGTGTTCGGGAAGTATGTACAAAATTAAATAATGTACAATATTGTCCAAAATTATATATGATTCCCTAAAGCAACTCGGTAACTTATTATATGTAATACTATTTTATCTATGATATTATATCTTTTGAACCTTGTATAAAATTCTATTCAATTTAATTTAATTAATTTAAAAAAAAAAGCACTTCTTTGTTTGTTTTTATAATTTTTGTTAATTTAACTTTAATTTTTGGAAAACCGGGACTATCTGAAGCAAAAGATCAAAATTCAGGATAAATATTGCTTTTAGGGAAACCCGGGACGCAAGGTGGGAACCCGGATTTGTCTCGGCCAAATCGGGACGTATGGTCACCTTAAGTATACTGCAATTCTTTGAATTAAGGTGCAAGTCCTTTGTGCATGTTTTAATTATATATCTTGTCGCTCTTGATTGATTTGAATGTATTTAGAAAACTTATACTAAATAAAATTATTTACTATATTCCTAGAGTAGCTAATACCGCTTTTCTCAATTAATTTATGCAAACTTAAGGATGTCGATCGATTGCATTTGTTTATTTTATCTATTGCAATATTTAAATTATACGTCCAAAGTAAACACTGTATTAGACAAAGTTGTTTAAAATTAATTATTTTAGGGTATCAATATACAAGTATTTACAGGCTTACAGCTGGATATCTCGAATTGCGAGGTGAACTTACTATAATGACTGGACTAAATATCGTTTGCAGGTCTCAAAACTTTCGTTTAATATAAATGTTGTGTCAGAGTGTCAATAGAGTTCATAATTAAATGCTGTACGACAAGATCAACTCAGAATACTCTAAAATCGGGTAATTGGACATTTATACTGAATGCATTTGCACGCGGGGCATCTATCTTTCTTGGTAGATTTCTATGTTTAAGGCATTTATTTAATTTATTTCTTGTAAATTTTAAACCACTCGATTGATGTGAATGATGTGTTTGGGAAATTTGTACAAATTAAATAATCTACAATATTGTCTAACATAATAACTGGTTACAGCAACTTGTGACACTCAAAAACGTGATTAGATCTTTTAATTGGATGTAATAATTTGTGGTAAAAATGGTGCCAGTAATTTGTATAATTTATATATAAATATATGCATGTTATATATATATATATATATATATATATATATATTCTCATTCTACATAAATGTAGATCTGGTCAATCCGGATATAGGAAGTAAAACCAGTTCAAGTAAGTTAGCTTTTTTTACTAAACAAATTCACAACCAGCAATTAGTCGAACAACGCGGGCATCAAGACCGCATCAAGACAAAATAGTATAAAAAAGTCAGAATTATATAAAAAATATATAAATAGAAATGTCTTGAAACAGGAATACAGGATAAAGAACATGTATAAGCTGATAGACCTTATTTCATTTTACCCAATTATATATTTCTACATTATTTATCATGCTTTGCCTTCACTAATTAAGTCATTTTATGTGGTTCAAACTTCTTTATGATGACATGCATTTTGTGTCAAAACATACAGAATAAATATTTGTAGGAATAATGAATTATGATTGAGGTGACCATATTTTTTAAAATCAAAACCGGTACGGCGACATTAGGTTTTCCTAACCCGGGGGGGGGAGGGCATTGTGCTGAATATCTTAAATATGACTTAAAATCAGTTTTTTTTATATTAAAATAATATAAAATACTTTTAGTATGGCTTTATTATTCTGTTTTATGCTATATTGTATCATATATATTTTCTTTTAAAAACGTAACTAACTTTAGTAAAAATTAGTACCTGTGCAAGGCATTCAAAAAGTTTGTTTTCGTAATTGAATAAAAAATAAAACTGAAAATGAATGTACGAAGTTATGAATGTGAGAGGCTATTTTAGCCGGCTTTTAAAATTTTTCTTTTGGCCATTTGCTCATTCATAACATATTGTTTCATATAAGTTGTAATTTTATTATCAAGTAATTGCAAATATTCAATTTATACCTATACTTTTAAAACCTGGGACAATCCGGGACAGAACATCTGAATCCGGGACAAATATTGCTTTCAGAAAACCCGGGACAAGGTGAAAATCTGAGACTGTACCGGCTAAACCGGGACGTATGGTCACCTTAATTGTGCACAATTAATGCACATTTGATGTTGAAACGTACAGATTAAATATATCGACTGCTAACATTTTGTAAAATAATTTTCGACGTGTAACAAAAAATCTCAATTTTATATAATAAAAATTACTTCCGTACTTCCGTTCTCTTAAAACCGGATACAATTCGCATTCATATGTTACATATGCATGTATAGATGTAGATCATTTTATGAGGTTGTTGCTTTATTTAAAATCTCAAGGATTTATATATATATATATATATATATATATATATATATAAGATATAAATATCTTTATATATTTATATGTCATTTACATTCGGAATCCGTGTCGCGGTCAAGGACGCAACACGGAAGCAACTCCGCGACTTGCATGTGTCATTAACCATTCCCTTCCGAGTCACGATCTTTTCCTTTTTCTCGTCGTCTCTATTATTAAATCGGACACGCCGATTATAATATAATCAATTATTAAGCCTTCGATTTAATTTATGATTAATTACAGGGCAGACCCCCCAGTTGGGGTCACAGGGGAATTAAATGTCATGTCGACGGGTTTTGTGGGCATTGAAACAGGGTAATAATTGATTGTTGTAGTAATTGATCCCCATATGTTGACCCGGTATGTTATTTATAGTACTTATTTATAGTATTTTTGGATGTAAAATTGTTGAAAATGAAATTTTTTTCTTTTTTTTGTAGTTGTAAGGTAACACCAAAATGCAACTTTTTGTCATAGCAGATACTTTCAATTATGTTTGGAAGTATCTCTTTTTTTAAATGGCAATAAAAGT